AAGTAAGATAAAAGATTACATGTTTAGTTTTGGGCCGGGGATTTAGCTCAATGGTTCTGTCCCCTGCCCTGCAAGCACAAGGACCAGAGTTCGATTCCTGGTACCAAAAAAAAAAATTTTTAGTTTTGAGATGGTTATACTGTGTTGCCTAGGCTGGGTGTACTTATGGTTTCAAATGACCCACCCACCTCAGCCTCCCAGGTAGCTCAAACTATAGGCATGGGCCACTGTGTGTGGCTAAAGGACTAGATTTTGACCTGATTTCCCTAGTTGCATGGGGCCCTCATTTAGCATTATCTTTTCTTTTTTTTGGTATCAGGAATTGAACTCGGGACCTTGTACTTGCAAGGCAGGTGTTGGAACCACTGAGCTAAATCCCCACCAGCATTATCATTGTAAATGTTTAAGTTCTTAAATTTTACTGATAAGCTAAATTAGAAGGCATCTAAAGGTTAAAGTATAATCTGGTTTGCAAAGTTAAGAGTACATGCCTGTTAGCTGGGTATGTTGGTGCATGCCTGTAATCCCAGAACTGTGGGAGGCTGAGGCAGGAAGATCACAAGTTTTTGCTTGGCCTGGGAACTTAGTGAGACTGTATCTCAAAAAATAAAGGACTGGGGGCCAGGGATTTAGCTCAGTGGCACCATCCCTGCCTCGAAAGCCCAAGGTCCTGAGTTCAATCCCCAGTACCAAAAAATAAAAGATAAATAAATGGCGGGGGGTATAGCTCAGTGTGGTTCAATTACTAGTCCAAGAAAAAAAAGTATGCTCTACCAAATACTGGGCTAGTGAGCTTCCAGAAAGGTTCAGATAAATTCTTTGTGATAAGTAAATGATGTGCAAAGTGTATCCTCCTAACATTGTGTAGATAGAAGCAAAAGAATAATTTCCACCCTTTTGTGTATAGAACACATCCCCACCTACCAATAGCAGAAACTCTTAGGCTAGAGTTCTCAAGGTGTGCTTTGATAAACCAAGAGGTATATCACAAGTAATTTGTTACTGATTAAAACTTGTGAATAATTTCTTTTATAAATTAAAATTTCAAGTTTCTTGTTAAGAGTACTTTTACCTATACTTCTCATAAGCTTTCTGATAGAAGAGATTTTTTTAATTCCAAGAAGACAATGGACAGAACTATGGGCATACTGTCAGGGTTATAAAGAATGTGACTATTACTTATGTGTGTCACAGAAGAAAAACGGTTTACAACAGCTGGTTTCAAAAACTGATTTGATGGGATATAGCACTTGTTATGGCTAGTAAAAGAAGGTAGAATTGGGCCGGGGATTTAGCTCAGTGGTTTCACTGCCTGCTACGCAAGCGCAAGGACCCAATACAAAAAAAAAAGAAAGAAAGAAGGTAGAATTAACACCAGGCTTTGCGTTTAGGTGACAGCTAATACCAGAATGCTTGCTCGGACTTAGTTTATGTATTAAGATTTCATAGGGGGCTGGGGATTTAGCTCAGTGGTTCTGCCACCTGCCTTGCAAGCACAAGGACCCGAGTTCGATCCCCAGTACCAAAAAAAAAAAAAAAAAAGATTTCATAGAGATGTTCATTATGTGTCAATTAAAAGCAAAAGAATTTAAAAGGGTCACAAGAGAAAAAGATATGATTTGATGAAATGAGTTATTCAGATTTTTTTCTCTACTAGCAAAAAAGAATTTTTTTGTAGGAAGACAGCTTTGTTGAAAACTACATTCATTCTTTGTGCCAGGTTTAATGTAAGGTATTAAGAAGAGAAAAAAGAGGCTATTTTATAGATCAGATTGGCACCTGGGAAAGTTAGTTTACAAATTCAGTTTTGCCACTAAGTACAGAACTTAGGGATCTGTGGATTCTCTGAATCTCGATTTGTTTATCTATAAAACAGAGTCAGGTGAACTAGATGACTTCCCAGGTCCCTCTAGATTCTAAAATGCTGTAATTAAAAAACTAACTTTTGTGCAGGGCATGGTGGCGCACGCCTGTAATCCCAGCACTTGGGTGGCTGAGGCAGGAGGATCACTGCCAAGTTCGAGGCCAGCCTGGGCTACATAGTGAGTTCAGGGCCAGCCTGAACTACAAAGGGAGACCCTGACTCAAAAACAAAAAAAAAACCAACAAAAAACTAACCTTTGAAATGTTTATTCACATGTTTCCTTCTCAGGGCATTCCTGGAACAGAAATATATGTTCCATATTACCACTTTAAGAAGTTTCCAAAGGGAAGTATTTAGATTTTTATCCCTATGTCCAGTACAGAACTCTACACACAAAAAAGGGGGGAACTTGTAGCCCAGACTGACAATAGGTAGTGATGTTCACATCAAATCTAAAGCTTAGGCTAAGAAGCAAGGCCTTTCATTAAGTAACATTCTTAGCTCATCTGTCCCTATCCGATAAAGCCCTTACTTTTCAGCTGAGTTGGTCACATCTTTTTCCCCTTCCTGTCTCTGTTCTGGTCCCTCCATCTAGAAGGGCAGGAAAGGAAGAATAATAAATGTCCATTATTTCTTTCAAGACCACACACTGTCTTTATATGTTTGTGTGTGTTTGCAGGATTTAACCCCTGGCCTTGTACTTGCTAGACAAGTGCTTTACAACTAAACTACATCCTCAGCCCTGTCTTTATGTTTTATCAGCATGAATACAGGAATTTCTACAATCTTATACTACCATCACTTACTTATGTTCCCCTGCTTGTTCATAGCTGTTCCTTATTTCTCCATAATTGGACTCTAAACACACTGCACTGAGTGCACACTGAATAAATGGTTATCTGTTCTGTAAGTGGAATGGAATCTAATAAGGTAATATTAATGAGTCAGGCCCCTTCTAATTTTGTGCCAATCCCAAGCGCTTCCTTCCCATCCATGTTCTTGCCTGTGTGCAGTCCACTATCTTCAAGCTTAACTTAAGGGTCGATTATCGTCATGAAAAGATAACACAGTTTGTTTTTTTGGTTTCTAATTTTTTCAGTTCATTTCCATAAAAACATAATATAAAAGGCAATGCCACCATCTTCCCCTCCTGGGGGTGATCCATCAAGACAGTCTGGGCTGCTCCAGTGATTCATAGCTCATCATGGGATATGTGCAGGGAATGGTCACATAGATCTGCAAATAGTACATAACAATTTGAAGAAAAACACCACTCTCATACTGATATATACCACTATCAAGAAAATACCCCAAATCAAACTGGCATGTATACCTACCACTTTCTTTTTAAGTCATAGGGGCTACCACCATTTTCAAAGCATATGCATATATGGCAGAATATCCCTAGTGCTTTTCATCTGTATCTTCAGCCTACAAATTCTAAAAGCTGACAGGAAGATAATGGAGAGGAACAACCCTAGCTGGAAGGAAAGGAAGGGAAATGGAAGCCAACCTGAACTAATTGCAGAGAATTTGGTGGGTGAGAAGGGTGCCATGTTCTAGACGGCTGTGAGATCAGGACGTAAAGTTGGAGTAGCTTACCTGTCCGCTTACTGCAAAGTTTGTCTTTAACACTGTCAGCCTCTCGAGAAAAGAATTCAATAAGTTCATCCTCGTATTCCTCCACAATGCTCTCACACTGCCAACCCAAGGGAGAAACAGGTGACACTGGGCAGCCAGAACAGGCCTCAGGCCCCCACCTCCAGAGAGGCCAACGAGGATACTGACCCAGCCCTCTACATGGTCTCCCTAACAACTCCTTTACTTTCCAAAAGCCAGCTACCCTTTCCCATAGATTACCGCAAACTTGAGGGTGCCGCTGATATCTGAATCAATTCGGATGCCCTGTAAGTCCAGTTCACTGGATTCTCCATTCCGGCTCACGACACGTACATAGTTCTTACGGTGGGTGGAAGGGTCAATCTGTTCTCCATATTCCTTCATTCGGTCACATACCTCCTCTAGCAGCTCTGTGAGGTGGGCTTCTGAGCGGGCATAAGGTACCTAGAAATGTCCTCAACCTTGGGTCACTCTTTTCTACCTCATACATTAGTAATTTATGTTCTTACTTGCCCTTCCAAATCTGGTTCAACCAACCTATTCTAAAATGTCTTCTCTAATTAAAAATATTATGATTTATTTTTATAGTTTCAGAGTGCTTTGAAAGACAGATGCTGGGTATGGTGGCATACACCTGTAATCCTAGTACATGGGAGGATTGCCACAAGCCTGAACTATATAGTAGGACCCTGTCTCAAACAAAAACAAAAGAAAACAAAAAACTCACCCAAGAAATAAGGTAGGTACCATTACCTCCAAATTATAGGTAATCAGAGACCTCTGGTTAGCTCTTATCAATGCTCTTTTCCTTTGCTTTTTTTTTGCCACACAAAGGGTTGAACCCAGGTCCTTGCACATGCTACGCCAGTGTTCTACCACTGAGTTACATCCTCATTCCTTTTTAGATAGGCTCTCACTAAGTTGCCCAGGCAGGCCTCAAATTTGAGATCTTTCTTGGGCTTTTTTTTTTTGGTACCAGGGATCGAACTCAGGACCTTTCGTTTGTGAGGCAGGTGGCAGAACCACTGAGCTAAATCCCTAGCCCCCTTTTATTCTTTTTTGAATGTGTTTTTATGCATACCATAGTGATGGAGTGGAACATGAGTCATGGATTAGGGCTGTGGAGGAGGGTGATCAGAGCTCCCTGTCTGCTAATGATTTCTACAACAGAAACAGAGTATTAAGGTTTGCAGCACATGGGTGGCTGAGGTAGAAGGATCACTGTGAGTTTGAGGTTAGCTTGGGCTACACAGTGAGTTTAAAGGCCAGCCTGCACTACACAGCAAAACCCTGTTTTGAAAAAAAATTAAAAAAAAAAAAAAATAATAGTAAGGTTTGGAGCTAGAAAGCATGTGCATAGCAAATAAGTTTCCAGCCTTTTCCAAATGAGACAGAGCCAAATCTTTTAGATTTCTCTCAGGATCTGTTTTCTTCATTTCTGTAATATTAAAGTCCTTCTTAATTGAGTTCTCATTCAAAGCCAGAGTGAGTTACTTGGGGGAACAGTAACAGTTACCTCTACCACTGACTGGCTGCCATCTGGATTGATCCGGAAAGATCCCATCTGAATGGTCTTCTTGGGATCCACCTGGGCAATTTCCCACTCTAGTTCATCCACTAGAGCCCTGCAAGCTGGTGCAAGGAGAGAGTATTGGAGGTGGAGGTGGGGGTAGGAGAATAGGATCAATCTAGGGATTTCCATTCATCTTTCTCCCATGCCTTAGCTCTCCCACGCCTTGGCTTCCTCCCTTCTCTTTGTGCCTTTACCTCCACAGTGTAGATCCTGGCTCCTTCGAGCCCAGACAGTTCCCAGGAGGGCCCCCAGAAGCAGGGCCAGCCAACCCCAGCTTTTCATCCTTAGCGTAATGGGGTCGCTCCACCTGAGTTTATGTGGGAATAAAACATATCTGAGTGGACTCCATTTTTCCTTACCGCCCCCCTCCCCGCCCCGCCTACTCCTCATCCTGCAGGCCTTCAAAGGCCTCGGTGTAATTTTAACTCTACAGGAAATGGCCAGGACACAAAGGGGCCCCTCTGTCCCAGCGCTTGCGAGTCTCGATATCCTTAGACGGTGGATGGGAGAGCGAGCTCAAGATTGGGGACTCTGTTCCAGTAACAACTACGTGGACAGGTGAGGCCCTGGATGTTGGCACTGTAACACTGGACGCTCAGAGGGTTCAGAGGGATATGTGGCAGCTACAGGATGGAAGCTGGCAGTGATGCCAGGACGACAGGCTCAGGAGGGCTACCAGTAAGGAGCCTTCGGTCGGGGTAGGAGGCCAGCATGGAGGCCTCTCAAGGCTCAGGCCCATCTGGGCTCAGCACAAAAAGATTCCTGCATCCCCACCTCCAACCTGCTGTTTGCAGTTGCCGGTGCACACAAAGCCCTCTTTCCGAGGCTCTGCCAGAGCTTTCGCTCGGTCCATCCCACCGCCTCCAGCCAGCCGCACCTCCCACCTCTGCTCACGGGGCCTTTGCCGAGCCCCAGGCGCGCGAAGACAGCCAGACTCTCACTTTGGCCTCGGTGACTCTCAAGCCTAGAACCTGGCTGCGGGGGAAGCAGGACTATCTGGGCTTCTTCAGAGCACAGCACTTCCGCACTTTTCAGACTTCAGATAACCCGGCAGACAGCTACCTAACCCGGCTCCCAAGACCTCAAGTTAAAGCTCGATTCGCTGCGGGTCAAACCCCCGTAGACTGACCCCGAACCCGCCCCTCCAAACTCTCGCGCGAACAGGCAGCGATGACTCCGCCGCAGTTCGCAGGTCCCAGATCTGCGTGGCGAACCTATCCACGTGACCAGCAGGCCTCCACCGACTAGTAGCCGCAAGCGGAGACAGAGGCGGCGCATGGTAGGTATATGGAGACGATCAGGGGCGCATGCGCAACTAAGAACCTTCAAAAATAAAGGTGCACGGCTAGCCAGCCGGGAATTTTCTATACAAGAGAAACTACATCTCCCAGGAGCAGCGTGGCACCAGAATGATCCTGTGAGCAGCTACAGGTCTGGAGATAAAGTGGGATTCGTAGTTCTTCACCTTACCCAATTAGTGAGGAAACCATACCACAGGTCCTCAGTTACTTTAGAGTACTATACAGCTAGAGCAAAAACCTAACATTGTCCAGGAAAAACATAATCAAATTTCTTCATCCACAATTTTGGTCTCCACAACTTTGTTTTTAGGTAGGGATCTGAACATAACTTAATTTTTCCATTGTTTAGGTGAAGCCATCACAAGAGGAGAGCTGACCTAAGACTGGTCATACTAGTTCTCTAATGACAGAGACAGACAGTAATAGTCTTTTTATTTTGTAAAACATGCGGTTTAAAACAAAAGTTAAAAAAAAATAAAACGAGACAGGAGAATGAATGGAAGACAGATACTTCTCAGCTGCCAACAGAATGAAGCCAGAAGCTAAACTTTCTCCAGGACCCATAGGTTTTTTTCAGTTTTGTTTGAGGCAGGGTCTCACTATGCAGTTCAGGCTGGCCTTGAACTATGTAGCCCAGGTTGGCTTTGAACTTGCTTCGATCCTGATCCTCCTGCCTGAGCCTCCCAAGTGCTAGGATTACCAAAGACCCTTTTGGCAACGGTGTTGGCAACGCTGGTTTGCTTGGGCCACCTAGATTACATGCTGGGCCCTCCAGGTATCCCTCAAGCAGTTAAGAGACTTAAGTGTGGATCTCCTTGTAGCATCACCATCGAAGACTTTAGTCCCTAGCCAGCAAGGAATGAGAGTTTTAATTCTAGGAGGTTCTTTGCCTGGGTATTAATTACCTAGGATATTTATTAAGAAGACATTACTTTCCATCTTGGTCAATTCTAGACTTTTTCTGGCCCACTGTTTTCCAAAGGATAAAGAAGGAATCTGGCTCCTAGAACCTTTGCAACAATTTAGCTGCATTCCAGTTCTATGAATAGCACCATCTGTAGACCCTGAGCAGGTCCAATTCTGGAAGTGGACAGGCTAAAGCCAACTTGGGAAACTATCTCTCAGTTCTGGGACCACAGACACTGACAGGAGAGGACAGGTCAGAGCGCCAGCACTGAGGAGAAGACAGCTGCATCTGTCAGAGACAAAAGAACACAACTCTTAAGGTGAATGAGGAAAAAATAGCACTTGAGATTTTTTTTTTTTTCTTTTTGGCTTTTGGGGACAAGGTCTCATTATGTAGTTCAGGCTGGCTTTGAACTCATGGCAGTCCTCTTGCCTCAGCCTCCCAAGTACTGGGACTACAGGCATGTGGCACCACACCCAGCCGGGATATTCCTTATGAAGGAAAAAATGCAAGATAAAAATGCAAGATAAAAATGCATGGGCCTTCCCCAAACATTTCAGAATTGAATAAGAAAATTATGGACCAATAAAGTCTATTTCACTGTTAGAAGAATTAAGTGCTTTGCAAAGTGTTTAAGTGCTTCACAAAAGCAGCATTGTTATTATTTGTGTGGTGTTTATAATCTCTGTGGAATCACAATCTATCCAGTCCAGTTTCCATTGTCCCGTCCCAGGTCTTACTCTTTGGACTTGTCTGGCTTTCAGGCTCAGGCACCTTCCAGTCTATTTTCCGTCCCTTCTCATAAAGAGCTTTGAGCACTTTGTGGAAGGACTCAGGCTCAGTACCACTTTTGCTTAACTCCAGATACTTTCGGTAGAGCTGAAGGGCCGTGCGGGCATCCTCAATACTGTCATGGGTCTCCCCTTGAATCTTCAGGTCTAGGGTAAGTAAAGATACAATACTTTTCGACCTAGGAAAGGAAGGTAGGAACATGTCCCACTACTCCTACCCTGTTTGACAGAAAATGATTTCCAAAAACATGCATGCTTTTAAGGAAAGGTATATTGAAGCCAATTAATTGTTACTACTAGCTCAGCGCCCATATTATTCCTCCTTGGTCCTCTAACATGTTTCAAACTTTTTTTTTTTTTTTTTGGTAACGAGGATCAAACTCAGGACCTTGCGCTTTCAAGGCAGGCAGCGGCACCACTGAGGTAAATCCCCAGCCCTCAAACTTTTTTTTTTTTGGTGCTGGGGATTGAACTCGGGTCCTTGTGCTTGCGCAGCAGGTGGCGAAACCACTGAGCTAAATCCCCGGCATTTTTCTAAAGTTTTTGTTTTGTTTTTTGGGTTTTTTTTGGTACCGGGGATCGAACTTGGGTCCTTGCACTTGCACAGCAGGCAGCGAAACCACTGAGCTAAATCCCCAGCCCCTCAACCTTTTTTAGACAGGGTCTCACTGTTGCCCAGGCTGATCTCAAACTTGCAATCCTCCTGCCTCAGCCTCCGAAGTAGTTGGGATTACTGGTGTATACTATTGAATCCAGCTAATATTTCCTCCTCTTTTTTTTTTTTGGTACCAGGGATCGAACTCAGGTCCTTAGGTTTGAGCAGACGGCGGCAAAACCACTGAACTAAATCCCCGGCCCCATAATATTTCCTACTCTTAATCATTACGAAAGGCCTAAAAGGCAGGCCAACTCACCCAGAAAGTACCAAGCAAGGAATCGCAAGGAAATCATTCGTTTTCGGGGCATGTGAAACAGGTAGACAGTGTCAAGGACTTGGTCCTTGGGCACCTGGCAGGAATAAAAGGATGGGGACTTAGGCAGGGAATGCATAATTTCCCATTTCCAAAAATACTATGTATACCTTGATGGGTCCACCCTCAAAAGTGACTTTCTTTTTTTGGTACTGGGGATAAAACTCGGGACCTTGCATTTGAGGCAGGCGTTGGAACCACTGAGCTAAATCCCCAGGCCCCTCAAAAGTGACTCAAAAGAGCCTAGCCCGAACCATGAGGTTGATGACCCGGAAGTCCTTCTGTAGGCCATGACCCACAAACTTGACTCCTATGTCAATGAGAAACCGAAGCTTTAAGTAGGTAGATTTAAGGGTTGTGAGGTGCTTGGAGGAAATCTTGGCATCAAGGTCTCCTGGCTTTATCCCTGAGTATTGAGTCAAGTAATCCACCACCTAGGAATCGAGAAAAGGACAAATCTTTCAGGATATCAGCTGCTGTCTCCTCCTACCACTCTTTTTTTTTTTTTTTTTGGTACCGGGGATCGAACTGGGGTCCTTGCGCTTGCGCAGCAGGCGGCGAAACCACTGAGCTAAATCCCTGGCCCCCCCTCCTACCACTCTTTCTTGGGTTCTCAAGCACTGAACATAAGCACGGGGTTTAACTCACTGGCACCTCCATATCCTAATACCTGCTCCTGGGTAGAGATGTAGTCATCAATGAAGGGGATACCCTCATTGGGCCCCTGGCCCCGAACACAGGTGATCCTTGCTACTGACATTTGGCTTGGTTTAATGGTAGACTTAGTGCCATCACTGCGTAACTCTGCTTCTTCCTGTGTGACAAGAGTTAATCAGAGACATGCTCACAACTCCTAACATCCTCAGAGTTCTCTTGCAACGTCCCATCCTTTGGTTCTTGGTTACCTCATTAAGGGTGACAAACTCAGCATCAAGGCCCACCAGGTCCCCAACCTGTGGCATCTCACTCAGCATCAGTGGGATAAAGGTAGTATGTGTTTTCCGCTGCTTCCGTGCCAGTGAGGCTTCAGCCAACAACACACTAGCTTCGATAGGATTCTTGACTGCAAGGAAGAATGTAGAAGACAGAGGGCCAGGCATTGGGAAGTAACTACAAGGGAGGAGCAAGGATGGCTGATCAGAGACTCTGAGTCTATTTGTTATTCCTCAGTAATCAAAGCATCTGAGTAAAAGATTGAATCTGATGAACAGAACAGGTAGACAGACCAGATCAAATCAGAAAATTATCAAGAGATAGGCCAAGAAAAAACAAGAGATATGACAGAAAAGAAAATAAGATCTTCACTTTGAACCTTAGCTTAGAAAATCCAGAAAAATAAGGTTACAGCAAAATTATGGTTCAAAGGTACCAAATAGAGACTTAATAAGGAGCTCATCTCCAAAAGATGAGATCTTCACTTGGGGCTAAGAATAGGTGGACTCAAAATCACAATTTAAACCATTTTGATCAAATGCTTCCTTTTGCCCCTTCCCTACTCCACCCTCAGAATTTCCAGCTTCTAAATTTTTTTTTTTTGGTACCAGGGATTGAACTCAGGACCTTGCGCTTGCGAGGCAGGCGGCAGCACCACTGAGCTAAATCCCCAGCCCTCCAACTTCTAAATTTAAAGTCTAATAAGCAGAAATCTCTTTAGTATTCCTAGAGAGATTAGCACCAGTTACCAATCTTGAATACTAACAAGCTATTTCTCAGATCTCCTCCTGAAGCCTAATTTAAACTGCCCCCACCCTCAGGTCTGCTTTGTACCACTTACTATTCAGGTTGTATCTGGCATTGAGATTCCTCTTCACATAATAAAGGATAGCAGGTACTTTCCAATTCATGTCAAACTGGACTGCCTCATGCTAGAGAAAAGCAAGGGGCTAGGTGTGTAGTTCAGTGGTAGAGCACTTGCCTAGCATGCATAAGGACCTAGGTTCAATCCCTAGCAATGCTAAGAAAAAGAAAAAGCACCTATAGCCTATGAATGTATGCCCTTTTTCCCATTCCCCAAGTCAGACTGAGGCCAGAACTCAGGTGCTGTTTTTTGTTGGGTTTTTTTTTGGTACCAGGGATCAAACTCAAGACCTTGCGCTTTTGAGGCAGGGGGCGGAACCACTGAGCTAAATCCCCAGCCCTCAGGTGCTGTTTTTTTTTTTTTTTCCGGTACGGGGATCGAAC